ACTCTTTCTTCCTCTTGCATACTCTGCTTCAAAGGCAGATACTTCCATAGAATATCTAGATGAAAACTGAAGTAGAGCAAGATTCTGTCCTTTCCCATTGGTGAGTGGGAGACATTGTAAACCAACTATGGAAATGTAATGTTCATTCCTGGAAGAAACTCACAAATATGGACGACAGAGACAAAGTTCTCTGATAGCACAGAATAGACAGAATCAGTAAGATCTATCCCTTTGTTACCTGATATATTCAGATCCTGAAAAGCTAATCTTCTCTGTTATCTGTGGTCTCTAAGATTATAACAAAATGCTGTGTACCCACCTGGTAAGGTAAGTCGACTTGTGGAGCTAGTGCTTGGGGCTGGTGAGCCATGAGAACGCCTTTTTGTGCCTGTAAAGAGGAAAAAACAGGTAAGGAGAAGTAGGATTGTGGACAGTCTTGTTGGTTGGGTAAATGTTCATTTAAATGTCATCAAATGATACTAAAGTTTGGGTCTGAAGACAATGTTTAGAAGAAGGATGAATTAAATCGTAGGAGCAGTGCACATTCCAAAACCTAGAAAAGCCCAAAGTATAGTCTTTACCTTTGTGTAAAAGTGCTCAGTTCCTCTGGTTGGTAGATTGACAGTGGAGGCCAACATGCCACAAAGCAGGGATGTGCCTTAGAATCGCCAGGGAAGTGTTCTAAACATGCACCCTCCCAGATTTGTTTGCAGTGTGCTATGGTGGAGCCATGGCGTCAGCATTTTTAAAGCCTCCACCCCCACCTGATGAATCTAATGAACACCAGGGTACACAACTACTAGATGGGGAAGAGAAAATTCTGGATTTAGAACTGAGGAATCAGGAGATTGGTCTTTGTTTTATCTTTATAGCCTTTACTTGCTATGGGACCTCAAACAACTGGATATCTCAGAGGCTCAGACCTTCATCTGCAAAGTGAGGGAAATAACAATTACATCAAAGTGTTCTGGTGAGGATTAAAGGAACCAAGGTGTGTCAGAGTTCTCAGGGGCTGCGGAAATTACACAAAGGCAAGCTTTGTGGGGTCTCCAAGTTTCCCAGCAGCTGGCAACGGAATCCCTATTAGAAGGGGGATTATCTTTGTTCATACAAATAGTTTAATGGATTATGGGGAAATGAAAAGGCAGATCTCAGGGTGAAATCAGTAAAGAAAGAGCATAACAAAGGGACAAAGGAAGGGTTGAATTGTTCTGAAAAATAACATTTATATTTATAACATGTGTATGTATAAAACATGTGTTTATATATAAATATATACATGTAGACACATATATCTTATATATAAATACAAGTATTATTCACTTATTCATTTTGCTATCCAGGTGAGGGAAAAAGTGATCTAGAAACTAGAATCTAGTAACACAGCAGAAAATCTGAAGTCTAAGCTGGCAGAAATGCAAAGATAATTCTTAAGCAGAGGATATAACGATGCCTCTCAACTTCCATTGACATTGTGTTCTTCTAACCCATTGTCATTTGAAAATATATTAAGTTAAAATGTATGAAATACGCCTAACCTACCAAATATTTAGCTCATTCAACCTACTGTAAGCATGTTCAGAACATTTGGGCAAAATCATCTAACAACAAAACCTAATTTTATACAATGTTGGTTATCTTATGTGATTTTACTGAATTCTGTCCTAAAAGAGAAAAACAGAATGGTTGTAATGGGTATTCCAAGTACAATTTCTTTTTTTTTTTTTTAAGAGGTTTTTTGCTATAGGGTGCGTGCGCTCGCCAGACAGACAGAGAGAGACAGAGAGACAGAAAGCAAGAAATCACCCTCCAGGGGGGATGGCCATGCCGCAATCCCTTCTCCTCCATTCTCCTCTTGGGATCTTGGGCACACACGCACATGCGCCCGGTGTGAGTTTAAGCCACTGGGTCCAGGACGCGAACCACGGTCAACTACATGGGAGTCCAGCGACATAGCCATTATGCTAACTGCTGGTCCCTACAATTTCTAATACATACATACTGTATTCACACCATTGCAAATCTGAAAATAAACTCAGTTAAGTCAAAACATTTTAAGTTATGTACTGGCTATACAAGAGTCAATGCTATTTCTGAGTCCCAATGACTTCCCCAAAGTTTTAATAAAGTCTACTTTATATGCAGAGGTCAAGTGTGAGTTGAAGTTATGCTAATTGAGAAAATACTATCAATACAGTCACCAGTAAAGGTAAGAAGATGGCTGGAACTGGCCAGTGGCATGGTGGTTAAGGGCACTGGACTCCCACATGGCTGACCATGGTTTGAGTCCCAGACCTGGAGGCTTATTTTCTCACTTTCCTCTTCCCTTCTCTCTCTCACTCTGTCCCTTTCTGGTCAAATTTAAATAAATAAAGTTAAAATAATAAAAATAATTCTTAAAAAATAAAAAAGAAAATGTAATAAGATGACCCATAGACTGGTCAGCAAGAGAAGCAGAGACTTGGTGTTAGAGATGAGTGGGGCTGGTGGTAAGCTTTCCCTTTCAGAATCTCTGGTGAGAAGTGGAGCAATCCATTTTGAATATGTTGGACACTGTTTCATTTGAATTTTAAAGAAAAGGTACCAACTCTGACAGTTAATGTTATTTTTCTTATTGCTGTTATTGGCACTAGTAGTATCAGTGTCAATAATAATAGTAGAACTAGAAAAAACTAATTAATGTAAATACCTCAGACTTACAAGAACAGTTAATTTTCCATGAGGTGAAAGCAGCTGTCTGGCAGGACATTCTTTCTCCATTTTCCAGGTCTCATGGATGCCCTGGATACTGAAGTTGGTGAAACTGTGCTTCAGAATCCCCTCTGGTGATTTTCATAAATATGACTTCCAGGGTTCTATCCTGGACCCCAAAGCAGAAACTCCAGGGTACTGAACCCGAAGTTTACACTTTAACAAAATTCACCAGGTGAGCCTTGATGATTTTCTATTTAAAGAGGTGTCTCAGACAATAAGGTTAAAGGTTTGCCCAAAGTGATAGAGCCAGAGCTATCTTATTGCTAACTCTTGTGGATGCCATTCACATTGTAACCTACACAAGGAATGGTGGACTCTGATTTTGTAACAAGTAGACTCTGATCCATGGCACTATGAGGATGCAAATCTATGCTTTGATCAGAACCATTCTTTGTCCAGAACTATTCTTGCTCCATAGAAATGCCTCTGTGCCCACAGAATACACTTCCACTGTAGGGAGATCAATGATTCAATGTGTTCACCCCTCCTTTCATAAGACTTTTAAACTTCTCTGCTAGAACATTTGGAAAAGGGTCTCTCAGCAGTGGTACTCTAGTATTTGAGCCATATAATTCCTCATGATGGGGCTGTCTGGTACACTCTAGAATATTTAGCAGTATCTCTGACCTTCACCCATTAGATGGCAGCAGTACCTCCCTAGTCATGACAATCAAAAATGTCCTCCAACTAGTGACAAATGTTCTCTTAGGGCAAAAATGCTGTCAGTTGAGAGCCACAATTTCAGGATTGAGATAGGCTTTAGGTTTTTTATTCAGTATTTTGATTTACAGTTTGCCTATCTGATATTAGTAACAGTGACAACACATGTCAGGCAATTTCGAAACCTCTGGTACAAAATTAGCTAGGCACAATGAAATGTACATTAATTATCTTTTCTGATACTAATACTCTGACAATAAAATTATTCCCATTTTATTAGATTTGGAAACACAGGAAATTTAAGGACCTGTACAAAGTTATTGAAGGCTGAGAGGGAGGGTGGTAGGCGAAATTTTAAGCCAAGATCCTTCAAAGTTCAAACCTAGAGAAACTTTTTCTCATGACTCTTGCTGTTTCTTGACCAACTAATTATCTGGGTTTCCTTCAAGTACAGTCCCCCAATTTGCCTAACCATAAGGAAAGCCTGGAACAATGACTTCAACAGAAGGGAAAAGCAAACAAAACAAAAACAGATTTCCAGGCCCAGTCAAGCCTAAGGAGCCAACATATCTGGAGGGTAGGCCTGGAGATCTGGGTATTTCACATGTGCCTCAGATGACTCTGACCTGCGAGCAAGCTTGGGAAATTTTGTGTAGTAGAAATTTCCTTCGTCCATGGATGCTCTTATGAAGGTAAGAGATCAAATTTAATACTATTTATACGAGCACTTGAAGGACTGAAAAGAACTCGAGGACTGTAAGTTCCAATGTTATTATGTTAAAACATTTCATGATTGCTTCATAGGAATGCTGGGTGCATTTTTTTTTTCCTTTAATAACCTACTGTGATCTTCGAAAAGCCTGCAGCTTGATGTTTTTTTTCTTAAGGCAGCTTTTCATCTCCCTGGTATCATCTTTGCAGAAACTGAGGAAGATAGGGACCGTCGGGCTCAGAGGAAAACTGAAACTACAGCCGTCCTAGAAATGCTTATTCTTTTCTCTGTATGCTTGATGAAATGCCCAGTGTGTCAGAAAGGGGTGAAACCATTCCATGCCTCTCAAAATCATGAGTCATTAAAAAGGGATACATAAAATAAACCTGTTTTTGATTTCTCCATGCCTTCGGGCAGTACCACAGACCAATGTGGGTTTGATGCTCTGAGTCAGAGTCCTGTTGGCTCCCATAATGCTGAGATTGTATTCCTGAACCATGTTTTACTTGCAGCTACCAAATTATCTATCTCTTTACTCAAAGTTCCACACATGGGAATAATACCTAAGTCATCCTAGTTTCACTTTGTAAAACCTGTCAACCCTGCTCACTCCTATTTCACTTGCATGTATCTGTGTACTAACATGTGCCCTGGTTTGTTCTACCTGTACTAGCTCTACTTAATGCCTCTGATTTTATCTTTCTTAAAATTTTTTTAAAGAAAACCAATGCATTAACTGATATGATTTTAGAATTCTTAAATATTATATATATGAATTGGGTAAAATTAATTAGCAACTACATTAATGCTGACATTGCTAGGTTTTATTTTCTTCATTTACAAAAATTTTAAAAAGTCAACTTCAGACTTGTGAGGACCAAGTAAGAATACATATATGAAAGTGCTTAATAAACTATAATGTGCAAGGTAATGTTTGTTCTTATTTAGCTTATATTCAACAGGAAGAGTCATGACCAGATGGTGGCGCAGCAGTGAAGCATGATGCACTACAAGGCTGAGACACACAGAAGTTTCCAAGTTCACGTCCAGAGACCTCCCTGAGTACACTAGGCACACGTGTGACCCTGCTCCAGGGCTGGCTATGTCTGGGAGTGGATCTCCACTTCAAAACACTGCTGGGGTGGTGTGTGTGTGTGTGTGTGTGTGTGTGTGTGTGTGTGTGTGGCGGGGTGTTATCTCTTTCTCTCTCACTCATGAAAAACGTTAATAGAAATAAAACTAAAATTTTTAACTAAAACAAG